TCCTCTCAGCAGTCCGTTCGACGTGACCAATGGCCTGTATTGGTTGCCAGGTTCCAGACTCCGCGGACGGTGCCGCGAGTCCTAGTGACGTTACGGTTGTGGAACTCAAAGTGGAAGCCGAGCAGCGGGATGGCTCTGACGATGCTGCCTTTCTGCGGAAGGCTGGGACCAAAACCTCTGAGGAAGCTGGCACGCCAGAGGAAGCCAGGGTATGTTTCGAGCGGCGGCAAGGGTGATTCCACGCCCACTGAGTCAGTCACAAAACGGCATGGTGTCGGATCGGGACGAAACTTACGCAAATCGCAGGTCTAGTAGTGGGATAACTAAATCCAAAAGCGTTTTCCGAGAAATATCTAGAAGCCGAGATATTGAGAGGTTAAATATGGTGCCGGGACAGCGACAGTTCCGCTCGCAGTTTCGGTAACATCCATCGGATCGAGAAACCAAGCATACCGTTGGAAAGAGGAGAAAATTCCACAAAAAGTACTTCTTTTACTTTCTTTTAAAAAGTAAAAATTGTGTTTGATACTTTATAACCTTACCTTTGATTTATCGTAGAAAAAATAGTTGCACCACCAAATTTGCTGGGAAACGTCTTAAAAAAATTCCCCGTGAAACAAAGCTAAGGAAAAGATCAACCACAAAAAGTATTATTTCTCGTTCCCGAGATATCTGCATTTAACTATCTTGAAGTAGCGTTGCGAGTTCAAGCTCGCGCGGCGGACAAGGTATGAGAAATCCTTGCGAGGAATTTGGTCCCCAACGTTGCGAACAAATTTCTTCACAATGAGACTCATATCAGTTCTTTTCAAAACATGCAGTCAACCAGCGCTTCGCAAAGTCCAAAGTTAAGTTTAAATGGCCATTCCTTCTGCAGGATTCCCAGGCCGCCGCGAGAGCCTCGCCATCCATTCAAGGGTGCATTCAGAGCCTCAACTTGAGTGACCTCTGCAGGACTGCGCCGGGGATACGGCAGGAGGAGAAGGCTGCCACCTTGGAAAGTGTGCAACAGCGAGGGGTGAGTTCTGCGGGCTGTTCTCGGCGCATGATTTTCATGGCTCTGCCTCACCCCGCTCGTTCTCGTTGGCACCGTGATGTGTGTGCAGATTCGGC